TTAGCATTTTGTTAAGTTTATGTCCAAGGTTTGTTTTTGGTTTGTTTGTTTGTTTGTTTGAGGCAATTCTGAGTAGAATTGCTTTCCTGACTACTTTTTTAATGAGTTCATTGTTGGCATATAGAATGGTGTTTCTGTGATGATTTTTTATCCTTCAACTTTGCTGAAAGTGTTCATCACATCTAAGAGTTGGTGGTGGACTCTTTAGGGTCTTTTAATGATAGGATCATATATTCAAACAGAGATAATTTCACTTCTTTCTTTCCTATTCATATCCCTTATTTTCTTTCTCTTGCCTTATTGATCAGGCTAAAACTTCAAGCCCTATTTGAATAAGAGCAGTGATAGTGGGTACTCTGATCTTATTCCTGATTTTAAAGGAAATGCTTTCAGTTTTTCTCCATTCAGTATATTGCTGGTTATATGTCTATCACACAGCCAGTATTGTGTTTAATTATGAACCTTCTGTTTCTTTATCATGAAGGGATATTGGGTTTGTCAAATGATTTTTCTGCATCTATTGGGATGATTAAGTGATTCATGTCCTTGCATCTATTTATTTGCTATATTACATTATCAATCTGCATATGTTGAACCATCCTTGCATCCATCTGGAATAAAACCAACTTAATCATGCTGAATGATCTCTTTGTGTTGTTGAATTCAGTTTGTAAGTATTTTATTTAAGATTTTTTACCTACATTCATCAAGGAAATTAGCCTATAGTTTTCTACCAGAACTTTTAAGAAGAACTATCTTAAAAGTTTGAGGAGCATTGGTATGCTCCTCAAAATATTGTAAAAAATACAAAGGAAAGTAACATTTCCAAACTCACTCAATGTTGTGTTGTTGAATTCAGTTTTGTAAGTATTTTATTTAAGATTTTTATACCTAATTCTCAAGGAAATTAGCCCTATAGTTTTTCTACCAGAACTTTTAAGAAGAACTATCTTAAAAGTTTGAGGAGCATTGGTATGCTCCTCAAAATATTGTAAAAAATACAAAGGAAAGTAACATTTCCAAACTCACTCAATGAAGCCAGTATGTTATCTTTCTTTCCTTACTTTTGATCTGCATATATCCATCATATTTGAAGGATTTTCTTATACACAGAATATGATATCATAATGTTTTTTCTATACACTCTAAGAAATTCTTTCTCTTAACTGGTACCAATAAAAGGGTTCTTGGAACATTAGCAAAGATGGAAAAGCATGGAAACATCATATAATACTCTCCAATTCTCCTCTCCAGTTTGCTATATTGTGTTTGACTATTATAGAAAAATTTTAACATCCACTGATGTAGCTCTAGTTGTAGATGGAGGCAATATTAAAGATAATTACAGTAAAAATGGCAAACAATATGAGATGTTGGAAAAAAGGAAGTAAGGTTTTTATACCATTTCACATGTAAAATATAACCACAATTATGTGCCTATGATACCTAGAACAGCCACTAATAATTGCTATAGAAAGATATGCTCTGAAAACACTCTATGAAATCTAAAAATGATGGTTTACTGACCACCAGGAAAGCAGAAAACACAGTACAGAGGAGAAAAAAGAGAAAGACAAACAGAAAACAAAAACTAAAATGGAAGACTTAAGCTTTATCACGTCAACACAATACTAAAGATAAATGATCCTCTTCTGTAAAATAGTGTCATGAATTGCTAGTGTAAAACTAAAAGCCAAATAACAGAGTTTACAAGTTTAAAAATGAGATTTTTATACAGGTTCAGGGGCTCTATTAACTGGTAAGAAAAGAATTTGAACCCAGACCTACCTGTCTCCATATTTCCACCCAAAAGTGAATAAAGATTCAGAATTATAGTAACAAAGCATATTTTAAGAATATTTAAACTATTCTGTTGGTGGGTCATTTTTTTTGTAGCATTTGTCTGATTAGGAAATATATCCTTCAGATGTGAAATAATATAATTCATAATGAGTCAATCCATTCTCAATGCACAGATTCTGTCTGTAACATGGGGAGAGGCATTTGTCCTCACCTGTTGAAAAGTATATCTATAAATTTTAGTCATTTTTTTTTAATTCAGAGTGATTAAACAAAAAATGATAAGATAAATGTTATTACCTTATCAAGATTCTTGTTTAAGTAGACCCTGACGTACTCTAATATGTGCTCTTCCTAACTGAATGGAGTCCCTTGAAAGGGCTCAATTTCAGCAATTATTCAACAAGTTTATCTAAGGAAGCAGCTTGTTAGAACTTATTTCTTCTCATCTCTTCATTAAGACAATGGTGTCTTCTTCAGACACTTGAGTTGCCCCACAGTGCTTGTTTCTCAAGATATTTGAAAGAACCAGAGAAGCCAATATCAACAACTAGCTTAGTTTACTACATTCCTGCTTTTATAGGAGCATTCTTACTGACCATCTTCTAGATGTAGAGGTAGCTCAGCTAAGAGTTACTGATATGAATGAGGGAAGACTCCACTGATGCATTTGAGATCTTGTTTTTCCTCCAAGGGTATCATCTTTTTGACAAAACATTTTACATGAGTAAAAATTATAACATGTGAAGAATGATTCAACCACACATTTAGCCATTATATAATAAAAATCAAAATGATAGCAATTTTACTCCCTGTATATATCTTTTAGTAATTACATTCTCATTTATTGTCAATGAAAGTAACGTCATTATGCATATATTACAATATATAACTGTATCAATAGATAGATCTATAAATACAGATATAGATTGCTCTGAGAATGGTTCATACATTTCAAAGATGGTCCTTCTCCCATATAGAGTCTATTTCCTCCAAATGAATTTTTCTTCAGGTATTTGGTAAGTGAAGAAAGCTCTGATGTTTTAGGCAAGCTATCAACTTATAAGTTATAACCAAAAATTATAACTTATAAATTGCTTCTTAAAAGGCCCTCAACAAGTTCTTATTCTTTGATAGTCCCTCTACACTGTCACAGTGTACCTGTTCATATCAGCATTTGGAGGATAATGCACTATAAATCCAGTTAATTACAAGCTCGCTCCATTGCTGACTTGGTATTTGGTCCTGTTGGAACTGGTAAATGAGCAATCACTTACCAACTCTTTTTCCAGGAAGAAACTTACACTGCTGTATTTTCATTAATGTCATTAATCATTTATGCCTTTTAATTTTAAAACTCTTCATTGTGTTATATGACTGAAACACCGTTTCTAACTGAGACTAACTGTAGTAAAATGATCCCTAAATCTCAGTGACATATAACAATAGAAATTCTCAATTACATAGAATCCAGTGAAAGAAGGATGTTATTGGGACTGCTGTGGATTGTATGTGATCCCCAAAGTTCACTTGTAGGAAATGTATTTCCCCAGTGCAATGAAAAGAGGTGATTGGATAGTGAAGGCTCTGCTGTCATGAGTGAATTAGTGTTGCTGTTTCAGGACAAGGTTAGTTGTCTTTAGAGTGATTTTCTTACAAAAGCAGATTTGACATTCTCACTTGTTTTCTTGCTTTCAGAATCTCTTGCCCTTCCACAATGAGCCCTTCCATCTTGGACTTCCAAAACCTTGACCCAATGTGTCTTTTTCTTATGTAAATTACAGTCTAATAGTCTGCTATAGCAACACAGAATGGACTAAGACAGGGACTCTACTCCACACGGTCATTCTGGAATCCAACTGAGAGTGGACTGCAATAACTAACACACATAGGGTAATCATAGTTAACTAATGAAAATATAAGATTCCCTGCTAAATTCTAATTTCAGATAAAAAGTAATTTTCAAAATATTTCACATTCATTAGTTAAGTCACTTCTACTAAAAATTATGCTCTGTATCTGAAACTCAAATTTTAACTTACTTCCCTATATAGCTCATAAACTAACACATAGTTTGCGATGTTTATTTGAAGTCAATATCCTGCTGGCAGGTGAGGAGGAAACAGTAGAAATTCAAAGGGCTCCTGTTTGCATAGGCATGCAGGGGCTAGGGGTCATTCAGGTTAGACGTTGCATATATTACTTATCTCCACATTTCATTGAACAAAACTCATCTTATGATGACACATACACAAGTTTGTTTAAAAGTATGTTCTATTCTGTTCCCAGAATTAAATCCCTATGTATTGACAGGCAGCAAGAGAAATTTTGCAACATTAAGGGTCCATGATACATTTATACCTCAATAAGAAATAATTGGCAATATGGAAGAATGTTAAGGAAAAAAGCCACAGTAAATGAGAAAGCAGGAGGGCTTACACTAAATGAAAAATCATGCATCAATGGATTACAGCAGCACACATAAAAGGTGTGCTGTAACTGTAACTCAGAGAAAACAAAGATACTTATATTTAAAATAAGCTATCATTATACATTAATCAAATTGCTACCACATGATTTTTTTAAGCTAAGGCATAGCAAAAAAGAAAAAAACCAGTACCATGGAAATTGTAAGCTTATCTTTCTCTTACATATATGAAATGAGCAGATTACATGGTATGTAAAGTGAACTCCTCTGGAGTTGGAGAAACTACAGTAGTATAAACATACTGTGCAGTTACCAAAAATGTGTGAATGATGAATTTATCTCAGAAAATTCTTCTCAAGCAAATTCTAGTAAATTAAGAGTTTGAACCGGGATCAGATGACTAAAACAGTAAATGACTAAAAAAGTAAGCTAGGTATCACATCTGAGTGTTGCTTCATGAAACATGGGTACCTGTTTAACATAGTGGAAAAGTATATTCAATTGTGTTCCTTAGAATCACACATTAAAAGCTGGTATTTTTACTGAAGCTCTCCTCATTCTAAAATAAATCCATGGCTCAGATACACTGTTTTGTGGTATCTTCCTATCAAGATTATTTTTAAAACTATATGGAGAGTTAAAATTCCCCTTAGGGTGTCAGGAAAACCTGAATCAAAGAAACTGATGGGAAATGTTAAGTTTTAAATTTCAAGAACTTGGAAAGATTTCATTTCCTTTATCGATTTTTGGTACTCTCTAGATTTTGGTAGCCATGACAAGAGGAAATGGCACTGAAGTCACTGAATTCTATCTGTTGGGATTTGGTGCCAAACAAGACTTTCACTATGCCCTTTTCATTGTATTTCTGGTGATCTATGTGACAGCCATGGTGGTTAATACTGGAATGATCCTACTCATCAACACAGACTCCAGACTTCAAACACCCATGTACTTTTTCTTACAACATTTGGCTTTCATTGATATCTGTTACACATCTGCTATCACTCCAAAGATGCCGCAAAATTTCATAGTAGAAAACAAATCCATCTCATTCAGAGGCTGTGTAGCACAATTATTGGTCTATGTAATATTTGCAACCAGTGACTGTTATCTGCTGGCAGCTATGGCAGTGGACCGTTATGTAGCCATCTGTAAGCCACTTCACTATCCCATAATCATGTCAAGAACAGTTTGCATCCTGATGGTAGCTGGTTCATATCTCATAGGATCAATAAATTCCTCTGTACACACAGGCTTTACATTTTCACTCTCCTTCTGTAAATCCAACCACATTAATCACTTTTACTGCGATGGTCCCCAAATTATCACCCTTTCATGCTCCAGCATTGATATAAACATCATGCTTATTTTTACCTTTGTTGGATTTAACCTGATGTTCACTGTGTCAGTCATTACTGTCTCTTATATGTACATCATGGCTACCATCTTAAAGATGTCTTCTGCTTCTGGGAGGAAGAAAACCTTCTCTACATGTGCCTCCCACCTGACAGCTGTCACCATTTTCTATGGAACCCTCTCTTATATGTACTTAGAACCTCATTCTGATAATTCTCAGGAGAACCGAAAAGTGGTTTCTGTCTTTTATGGCATTGTGATTCCCATGTTAAACCCTCTGATCTACAGCTTGAGAAACAAAGAGGTAAAAGAAGCTATAAAAGTGACAGGAAAAAAGTTCATTAGACTTGATCCTAATTGTTAAGATTCAGTGTATCAAATCATCTAGTAGAAATGGGTTACCACAATTGAATAATTCAGACTTTTTTTTTAAAAAATCAGCTGTTAAATCAGGTCTTCACCTATTAATACATAAGATCTTGGGAAATGTTCTAAGTTCCTTCCTGAGAAATGAGTTCCTGGAATATAAATTGAAAAACATATATTACTCTCTTCATGGAGAAGGCTTCATAGTGATAATTAAAAGTATTAAGAATCATGAATAAGCTTTACAAAGTACTACTTCAAATATTAATCAAATATGCTTTAAACAACTACAAAATTTTACATGTAAATAATCAAATTAAAACAAAGGTAAATGATTTCCCATCCTTAAATAAGTTACCAAAATTATCTATAATGAGGTCCTTTGTATATTCTCTTCTAATTATTATACAACACTGTGAAATAAATGTGTGTTGTTACAAAAAAATTATCTTGTGACTCAAGCTATTTTTTTCTACCCAATACTCACACATTTGTTACTATCCTTGACATTAAAAACACTTATTTCCATCATTAATTACTCTCTTCAAGCCAGTACAAGTGGTTCCTGCCTGTAATCCTAGCCACTCAGGAGGCAGAGATCAGGAGGATCACAGTTGTAAGGCCAGCCTGGACAGATAGTTCACAAGAGCCTATCTTGAAAATATCCAATACCAAAAAGGGCTTGTGGTAAGGCATCTGCCTAGCCAGTGTAAGGCCCTGAGTTCAAGCCCCAGTGCTGTCAAAAAAAATTACTCTCTTCATTATCACTCTGTATCTTCTTGCCTACAGAAAGGGAACTCATGCAAACATTTTCCATTATTATCTCCAATATAGGTAATGTAGAAACAGTTAGATCTAAACACCTACATAGTATGCATATATGGAAATGTCACAACAACCCCCCTGGACAATTAACATACACTAATTTTTAAAAAGACACAAAAGACCTACCATCCATCATTCATTTACAAAAGGAATACGAATCATTTTTGGTCAGAGAAATTAACTATAGAAACTGTGGGAATTCAGATGCAGGTCAAACGCTCTTTGGCTCAAGAAGAAAATTGTTTAAAAAATGGATTAGGATACATATCGTGCCTCACATTGTAACAGTGCAAAGAAGGAAAGTATTCGTGTCTACTTTTATAACCTACAACATAAGGGTAAGTTCCTACTGAGAATAAATTGCTTTTGGCTAAATGCATTGATTAGGATATGATTCATCCTGCCGTGGATGAAATATCCTGCCATGGATAAAACTCAAGTTCAATTTTTATTGAGAATAAGGATTCATTAGTGCATCTATTAATTGTCAGGAAATCATTAGGTACTCATTAATATAGCTTTTAATTCATGCACACAGTAAATTTGAATGTATCCAGGATATCAGCTATACTAGCCACAGTCCATTATAGCAAGCTGTTCTCATGGCATCCCATGCTTTATCTGAGCTTACTGAGCCCCAAAATAGCAGATGTATGGAAGCTCAGGTCATCAATCAGAATTTGAAGTCAATTATGGTCAAAGATGGCTAACTTTATAAAAAGCCTAGACTAGACTACAAAGAAAGAAACTGGTTTCATATACTAAGTATTTTGGGATACGAAAGACAGGTAGAAGAAAACAGCTACATACATGGAATTTACTTACTATTCTATGTGTGTACTCACTATTGTGGCAAAATATAGCTGGTCATCTAAACAATAGTCACTCAATTATACACCTTCCTGAAAAAACTCTGAATTTATGAAGAAGACAATACTGGTTAAAATAGATGGCTTATATACCAAGCAGTTAGGATGGTGTCTGCCAGGTCATGTAATTGGCAGTGTGTAGTGAAGAATTTCACTTACCTAAAGAAAGGTCTAAATCTGGATATGGAGGTGCACACCTGTAGTCCCAGCACTTTGGAAACAGAGACAGGAAGTTCACAAGTTCAAGGCTACATAACAAGACCTTATCTAAAAATATTGGGAAAAAAGAAAGAAAGGTTTGACCTCTGCTGTAAGATACTGGGAGGGAATCTCTAAACAAGTGGAATTTATTATCTTATTGGACTGTTGTGTTTATCATAAGGCCTGACCACTAGACAGTCCACACAATTCTTTATCTTGGGAGTTTGGTGATATTCCATATCCATTTCAAAGTCAAATGGAACTGGAAACAGAAGGTATTATCTGATCCTCCATGTGCAGCTTGGATCAAAATATCAGTGATGTGGCCAGTATGTCATATGCCATAAAACTCCAACAAAAACTTGGGCACCACAGACTCAACTGACCCTCTGATTTGGTGGTAGCCCATGAATATTGTCCTAACTGATGTCAAGAGGACAGTGCACTCTGAAGTAGGAGGAAGGTTCATGTTTGGACTCCTCCAAACTGCACTGGCTGATTCTAATTTTTATCCTTTTGCTATAATAAAGGTAGAGTTGTATGTATAGCACCTTCTTCTTTATGTCTTAGTTTAACCTCTATACTAATACCAATTGACTGGATGGTTTATAAACAACAAAAATTTCTTTCTCATACTTGCAGGCTATAAGTTGAAAATCAAGCAGCTGGTATGGATCTCATGAGGGTGCTGTCATTAGATGCAGATGCGTCAACAGCTATTACGTCTTCACATGGCAAAAAAGGGCCAGAGAATAACCTGAACCCATTCAAGAGGGCTCCCCTAACTCATAACTTAATTACTATCCAAAGAGTCAGGATTTCAACACATGAACTTCAGGGAGACACCAACATCCAGTCCATAATATTCCATTCCTGTCCCTCTAAGATCATGTCCCTCTCATATGCACAATGCATTCATTCCATTTCAACAATCCCAAAAGTCTTTATGAATTCCACCATCAACTCTTCAGTCTAAATTCCAAAGCTTCATCCAAATATTATTTAGATAACATACAGATAAAACGCAAGGTATGATTTATTCTGAAGTAAAATTCCTCTGCAGGTGTCAAATTCTGGAACTATAAGGCAAAGTACTTCAAAATACAGTGATAGGACAAGTATAAATGCCAAAAACTAAGAACCTGAACCCTATGAGATTCTAAGGCTTTAGAATATGCCACTCAGCCCCATACTTTATCCTTAAATGTCCACTGAGGAAAATATCTCACCTTCCAGACTCACAGAGGTACCAACATCATACCTAGAGCCCTAGAGCTTAGCTGAGAGTTACAAACAATGTGATTTTTTGCCTTGGGTCCTTGGGGCTGGCTCACACCCTAAGGATCCAACCAGACAACTTCACCACCACAGTTTTTATGGCCAGAAGACTGACAGTTGTTTCCCCCAACCTATGCCCATGAACTCTAAGCTTGTGATGGGAGTGACAGCGCTGATGATTTCTCAATTACCTTCAGAGGCTTTCTTCGACTCTCCTGAAGAACTACACGATTGACCATCAATAGTTCCATGGTTCCATACTGTAGAGTCCAAGAAGTCCAACAACCCTCCATCAATCTGTCCCTTATTCATTCTACCTTTCATTTACTCCTATTGGTGCTCTTCTCTGGAATAATCCCACCTCACTTCCTGGCTTTTGATAAGGTGACTGATTAAATTCACATTCACATTAATCTCCTTATCAATCAGCCACGTAGCATATCACTATAGACTTGGTGGCTTATAAGCAACAGAAACTTATTTCTCACAGATCTGGAATCTTGAAGTCTGAGATTGGGGTCCCAGTATGATCAGGTTCTGCCAAGGGCTCTCTTCTGGGTTACAAACTGCCAATTTGTTAATTATTTTCACAAAATAGGTATAGACAGGGGAAGTAGGGTCACTGTGGCACAAATAAGGACACAAATCCAACTCACTAGGGCCACAAACTTATGCCTTCATCTAATTGTGATTGTCTTCCAAAGATGACCCCACTTCTCAATACCATCATTTTTGGGTGTAGGAGTTCAACATTTGACTCATAACCCCAAAGTTCTATGAGATCTTCTGGTACTTTATCAAACCAGAGTGTGAGTATAGAGGCCCAGATAGTTGTAACCAATTAGTCAAAATGACATAGATTCTAAGGGAAATGTTTCCTCATACTGAGCACTTTACTAAACTTTTTTGATCATGGTGATCTCACACAGAGCAGCAGCAAAAAGAATGAGAGACAGATGGAAAAAAAGTCATGGATGAGTGATTTAGTTATCTTATTTGCTCCTAGGGAAACTGGAATTCAGTCCTACGGGGATCACAATGAACTCTATGTAACATCCCTCAGAATTGATCCTCTACAGGACTAGAGGATAAGATATTTGTTGAACCACCACTAGCTGAAGGTTTGTCAATGGTGTTAACATACCCTCATATCCATGCTGACTCTAATGAATAATGTTCTGTGGCTTAAAAGATATTCCCGAGGAGGGGAAAAAGACATTCCTGATGCATGAAATTGAGAGACACCAAAGAAGACGGGCCACTTTTAAGACAGATAACCATTTGGCACTGAAATCAAGTAGCTAAGGAGAGGTGATGCAAGACAGAGATTTCTGATAGTCCATGTCCCACAAGTCTAGCCAATGACATGTAAATAATTCTGGGGTCTTTAGAGAAAGCCTTTGTTTTCCTAGGCAAGTGTGTCTTCATGTAGTAGATACCTTGCCTTTTCCTTTTTTCCTACTTTGAAAGGAAAGTGAAATCTGTAGCTTTGTAGACATGTTGGACCATGAGGTAATCAGCATATGAGACACATGAACAAATCATGAAAATGCTAATCTTAACTCCCGAAGTTTTGTTTTGAAGGAAAACCAAACTCCATATATAAAAGCCAAAAAATTGGCTTTTATCCTACTAGTAATTGAACATGTTCCTAACTTAAACATTAGTCATGTAATGAGTAATACTGAACACAAATTCACTAGACTTTGAAAATAACTCCCCTTTATATGGTTGCTAGTTAAACAAAACGGCACACAGTAACTGAATTTAACTTTTTCCTTTCAGGTTGATTAGAAGTTTAATTGGAGCATTGTATCAAGAGACA